TGAAAAATAATACTAAATGGAATAAGTACATTAAAAAATATTAATCATTATAGGATCAGCCACAAAATGTGTTAATGTCTTGTGACTGAAAATAGTTTTCTAATGACTCCTAAATAGGCTGGTTGGAAGCGGCCTACTTCCAGCCAGTGCAGCGATTCTTTACGAACTTAATCAGGTCGTCTGCCTCGTAGGTAGAACTCTACTGCGGTTGCCAGAAATTAATCGATTATAAACCTATCGCAAAACACGTACTAACTATACCACGTATTTTAAATAAATATCTATAAATATTTTAGTTCTGATTATTTAATCAGACAGTTAGTACTTGAGTGTAGAATAAAATTAACCTAACGAAAACATAATAATTTATTTAGTATGTCTCACGAAAGTAACAATACAAAAATTAACCTTAGTTTTTATTACGGAAGAATTGTCAAATATTCAAAGTTATTTCTCTGATAATATTTATTTGACGTTGAAATAATCGAGTCTTAATGTAAAACAGTATTTGCAAAAGCAAATACCATTGCAAAATGACCTAACAATATAATTGTTTTTTATTTACAGCTGAAACGATTAGTGATCTACAAGATACGTTAAAACGTAATGAACGTGCTTTATCACGAAAAAGAGGGAAACGGAGAAGGGTATGAAATTAAATTACTTCTCGATATATATTCAGATTGGATCATCGTTTATCACTAGCCGAGAAATATCTCGACCAATAGGTCAAACACCGGTCCAGGGCAAATAAAAAGAAACAGACATTTTTTGGTGAAAACCCCATCACATTTTTTTTTTCAAATTAAAATTATTCTTTTTTAATTGTTTTGAGAAGTACTTTCATGAGTACCTTTTTGTTCAAGGTTTATTAGTAATGTCGTAGTGATGGAGGTGTCGTTCGACTCGGTAATGAAACAAAATGCTTTTTGAGATAAATTTTAAATCTAATGTCATGGTAGTTTGGAGATCTAAGACGCTTTTCATGCATGAGGGGTTCGAAACCTACCAACAGCATGTACCAGTGTGACTTTTTCCGAGTTGTATGTACTTTCTAAGATTATCTAGACACCATTGACAAGCGATGAAGGAAAACATCGTGAGGAAACCTGGGGGCTTACTCTTGAATCCAATTCCGATCGATCGACACTGGTATTGTGAAATTTTGTACTCTTGTGTTACAACACTAGCGCCCATTGCATCCGTATTGCGTGGATATTTAATGAACTAAATGATATTGATTTTGGCTTTATATTCCGAACTCTGAATGCTATTGTAACAGCTACGATAAAGGTTGTATAGTTTTGATATTGAATAATTATTGAGATTTTATTGGATTGAAATTGCATTGACATTGAGATTGGTTTCAAGAGTAAGCACCCTGTTCTTATAATTTCTAAATATAAGTTTGAAATCGCCAACCCGTGTGAGAAGAGGCCTTTGATAAGCAGTAGTCATTTATAGGCTGTTGATGTGTAGTGTGTAAATCCCATGCACCACAATCATATTTCTCGATACTGGTGCAAAAAGTTGAAGAAAAAGGTACTAATTGACTGTAATATACCAGGTCCGCCACCGTATACGAAGATTTAGAAGACACAAGAACTCACGTAAACATGCGGAGAGTCAAAGTACAGAAGCAATAGATCTTGATACATTTTTAAATAATTACTCAAGTAAAAATAGTGTCACCGCGTCTCTTATGATAATTTTAGCTTTGTGTTTATAATTTTTTAGGTATATTTTAGATGTATTTTCTTTATTATGTTTAATTTTATTGTATAGTTTACTTTGTTAATAAACTTTTTGATATTCTTATTTAGTTCGTTTTACTTGGCCCTTTAAATCCGCCGTCCGTCCCTACTTTATTTATATTTCTCAAAAACTGTCACATCCTAAGTGATTCTCCAAGGCTTAGGTTGCGTTAAATGTTAACCAAAATGTAATTTATATTAAGCTAGTGACACTCCTAAAATTTGTAACGCCTGAAAAAGGCCGTTAAGCTGTGCCTGTTATTTCATAAGACCTCTAATGACCTGTATGTATTACCTTAATATGCAAATAAAGACTTTGAGTTTGAGTTTGCTGTTCCACTGAGGCGAACCGGGGTGGGCCGGAGCTACTTTGCCTATTTGCATCTTTGCGTCTGTTGTGTAAGATCTCCGCTGTATAACGCTCCTCTCCCGGCGCTACTCTAATCTAGCCTGTTTTCTCGATACCTTAAACAATTTTACTCCTTTCCGCCAATGCTTGATTCCCCCTAGTCATTTCCATCATCGTACCGCAAGACAATCGGCGAAGCGTCAACGATTCATGGTAGATATTTCAACTATAACCACGAAGCTCTTCGCATCAAGCTTCCTTATGCGTACTACTAAGGAGTGGAATTCTTTGCCAGAGTCTGTGTGAATAGGTTGCTTATGGGTCAACGTGCTCCGTCGTAGACCGCATCATCTCCTACAGGCGAGATAGTCGTCGTCGGCCCTTCAAATATATAAAAGAAATGCTCTTACCTTTGATGTTCTTACCTTAGAATAAGAGATTGGTGAAGCGTGGCACAACTCTTCAAACGGCGAAACGCAGCTGAGAAATCTGCTGCGTTTCGCTTCAGTGGAACTTTGAGGGTGTGCCCTTAAAGCGCAGTGCGTCGCATTAATTCACACAATTACTATCTTTCGACGACTGTTACACGAGTGTTTTTACTTTAACATAAGTCACTAGGGTTTTTATGGCCGTAACACATTTCTTTTCTAAATTAAGTAAAAACGCGGGTTACTCACGGCTCACTGAGCTGCGCGGTGAGCTGCGCGGTGAGCTGCGCGACGTCGCCGCGACCGCGCACGCTGCTCATGAGGAAGAACCCCTCTGTGGTTCGAAACTAGTAGAGCTTTTCTCAGTATATTCACGTGAGTAACCCGCGTTTTTACTTAATTTAGTATGTCTCACGATAGTTATTATAAAAACATTTCTTTTCTTTCTAAATTACACTTTACACAAGCGTGGTGTCTCATACTCACACAGTCCTATATATTACAACTCAGGGATACGTACGCGTCTACGCTTACAATACTTGGTCTATATAGACCACTGTAGACGCATCAGCCTTCATCCGTGTAGGTTAAAATCATTGCGGAATTTCGACCTTTTTTTCTATTTCTACTACGACCGTGCGCCATAGACAGAGCACCACAAACTGTGACTTGTCAACATTGTACGGGCGACGCAATAACACAAAGTATTTTGATTGTAAAATATGTAAAATTAATTGTTAATCGTAATAAAATGCGCGGCGTAGTGGTCGTATTGTCCTGTGTACTCGCATTCGCATTCGCTTCAACCAGCTCCGTCAACTATTGCGGCGCTAAGATGTGTGGAGGCAAAAATACACATACTTTCTGCCAGTATCCAGTAAGTAATAGATGATCTAATATAATAAGCCTCAACAACATTATCTACACATGGTACCCGTAAGGCCCGGCGCCCACTATCGGTATCGGCACGTCTGAGGATTTTAGGTGGCAAATAGTAATATACATTAACATAATGGCAATAAAGTAGAAATTGCCGTACCTACATATAGTCGTAATAACAAAAATACCGCTTCGGTATGCAAGAGGCTGCTGTATTGGTTGCCTTGAGAATCCTTCGCAATGCTTCGGTCGTCGGCTTGATTGATTAGATTTTTCTTTTTCTACACCAAAAGCTGCTATGAGCACTACATCCGTGTCCACCATCTGTATACAACTCAGACAACTAGCTTGTAACAACTCTGAGACTGTTATGACGAGAAATACGATGTTGAGACGCTTCGGCATGCTTCAGGACGGTGCGGCATGCATAAGGATGCCTCGTCATCCTTAAGAACGTTCCAGCATGCTAAAGCATACTTTCCGACAGTGTGCGCTTGCATGTAAGATGCTGAAGGATTCTTTTCTTTGCCGATGCCAATATCGAGTGCCGGGCTAAAGGCTGCGTTTCCACAGTAGCTGAGCAGAGACTTATAAAAATTGATCAAAATACTCGTCTCATCTCCGCTCTGATTCATTGGAAACAGTGTTAGCGGAGACGAGAAGATTTACATTAAAACGTATGGTGGGTGGTATAGAGCAGGGCTGTGCGATGTCGAGCTTAGTGGAGCTGTACTGTGACGGAGAAGCAAAATGTATTTACAGCCCTGTTCAACTTATCTCCGCTCCCCTCTGCTTAGCTCTGCTCTGCTCTACGCAGTTTTAATGGAAACACCTACCTGATCACAAGGATCTGCACAGCTCAGCTCCTGTAGAAACGCACCCTTACTTTAGAGGATTTTAGATATTTATAAACAAGTTATAAACAAGACTGCCTCGTTGGCCGAGTGGTCGCAAGTGCGACTGCCGGGCAAGGGGTCTCGGGTTCGATTCCCGGGTCTGGCAAAGTATTACTGGGTTTTTAAAAAATTCTCAGTAGTAGCACGGAGTCTGGAATTGTGCCCGGTATATGGCAATAGGCTCACCCCATGGGACTGGGACATGGGACTCATAACATAAATAGTGAAAAGTGGGTGTTACATTGTACAGTGGTATAATGTGCACCTCTGCCTACCCCTTCGGGGATAAACGGCGTGATGTTATGTGATGTGATGTTATGTGTATAAACAAGTTCTTTGTAAGAATCATTTACAGGAATTTATGTATTTTGCAGGAAGGCCCTAGTCCTAACTGCATTGGGTATGTAAATATCAAACTTAGAAACCGAGAGAAGGCGAGACTGCTAAGGCGGTTGAACAGCGGCAGGAATAAATTTGCAGGCGGCTCGCATTCGGGGTTTCCTCCAGCTGCGAATATGTTGCAACTGGTACGGTAATCTATGTCAAACAGATATTGTAGAAAATCATAGAACTGAAGACCTTACCGTAAATAGATTTGCGAAAAAAAGTATTTCGATTGATTATCTGTTGTTATTATACACTCATCTCGCTTACTCTAATTATTAAGTGTTTTTTTATATTGATTTCATTGTTTTATAGCATTGGGTTGAGGAGCTGGCTCGTGAAGCCCAGCGCTGGGCAGACCAGTGTCGGCGGCCGCGACGCGTCGAAGAACACGACACTTGTCGTGATTTATGTAAGTATTTCTGGGATAAGCCTGTAAACGAGCAGACGGATTACCTGATGGCAAGAAATTATCGGTTTCTATGAGGCTTCGGTGGAGTCGACTCATTCGTGCTGAAGTATGAGTCTCCCACACTTAAAACATTATGCCAACATCTCTATAACCTTAATCAGATTCATAATGCTTAATATGGATTTTTTTAAGGATTATTTCCATCAATTGACACCCATTTTTCGTAATCTATAGATAGTGTCGTGAAGAGGTCTGTGTAAGGGTGAGGTCCATTTGTGCGTTGCACCACTAGAATTGCGACAGCACACGACGTCTCACATGTTTCTAAGATACAGACGTCATGACTGTCCGTCGACGCAATGCATCACTCTGCCTCCCCATTCGTCTCTTATCCGTCGATCCGTTGAAATGTCACGCGCGACGACGCAAAGCGCTAATGGGGCTGTTTATAAAAAAATATATATGGAAAACGACGCTGCGACGACGCGAATAAAGAAATTAGTTAATTGGCTTACAACGTGTCCAATTTTAGTATATGCCTGTTACTGAGAATTACACAAGTATTTATTCAACGAAGAGCTGAATATTGTGTTTAGTGTTCCAGTGCAGGGGTCTTTATATGTACATTGTACAGTTTTGAATGGAAATAAATCGTCTATGCTTCGATAATCATTAAAATACAAATTAGAAAAAGATGATGACGGTGACAATACTTTAGCTACTTATAAAGGTGCAGGTTCGAAACCTACCAACGGCAAGTACCAATGTGACTTTTTCGGAGTTATATGTACTTTCTAAGATCCAGAAACCACTGACAAACGGTGAAGAAAAACATCGTAAGGAAACGTGGGCTTATAATTTCTAATTATAAGTTTGTAATTGCCAACCCGCATTGAGCAAGCGTGGTGATTAATGCTCAAACCTTCACCGTGTGAGAAGAGGCTTTGCTCAGCAGTGGGCATTATAGGCTGTTAATGTGTAATGTGTGATATACTGGTGATTATATAGATTGATGTGTACTGGCTACAAAATAAATATTGTGAGGTTTAGTCTTTAAATGACGTAAACAATGTTCAGCCTGGTCTTACCTTTTTTAAATACTAGAATGTGATTGTGATTGACGTTTTTTATCTGGTAAAATAAAGTGTTTGTCAGTTCAAAGTGAATGGAATTCGTTCGGAAAAATATTTTGTTTTTCGTGGATGAAGATTTTAAGCTGGTGGTCCTTTTAATATTATTTCGACCATAAATTTGTACTAAAGGACCAAAAGACCAGTATAGGTTATATTTCGATAATAAATTTATTCAATTACTTACTCATATTATGATGATTCCCATAACTTTTATAATAAGAAACATTAATAATTTTGTCATTAATAATTACAACAAATGATCACTGCTATGAATGATGCATTTGAAAGGAAAGGTATGAAAGTAAATGTGAACAAGACGAAAGTGTTGGTGATAGAAAGAAATGAGGTGATAACAGAATGTCAGGTAATGATAGGTGATGAAAAATTGGAACAAGTGAATGAATTTGTGTATCTGGGATCACTATGTACGAGAGATGGAAAGTGTGACGGGGATATTGAAAGGAGAGTGAAAGCGGGAAATAGTGTTAATGGTGCTTTACACTCTGTCATGTCGAGTAAAATAATATCCAGCAAAGCTCAACTTGCTGTAATGCAGTGTGTATTGACACTAACGCTTATGTATGGTAGTGAATCATGGGTGTGGCAGAAGAAGCATGAAAGCAGAATTAATGCGGTGGAAATGAGAACCCTAAGAAGTATGTGTGGACTAAAATTGAGTGATCGAGTGAAAAATAGTGTTATCAGAGAAAGGTGTGGATTGAAAGATGATGTAGTGACAAGGATTGAAAAGGGAATGTTACGCTGGTTTGGACATGTAGAAAGGATGGATGAAAGTAGAGTAACGAAAGAATTATACAGAGCGGATATGAATGGGGCCGTTGGTAGAGGGCGCCCTAGACGGACCTATAGTGACCAGATTGGCGATATATTAAAGAAGGGCCAAATTAAAAGTACCCTTAACCGACGAGCATGCATGAAAAGATTGATGACTGTTAATGAAGCGAAAGAGGTATGTAAGAATCGTAGTAATTGGCGTTCCTTAGTCTCTGCCTACCCCCATGGGAGACAGGCGTGAAGTTATGTATGTATGTATGTAATAATTTTGTTTGATGATGACGATACTGAACCCTTCTCCTATGTGTAACAAGCACTTTTCTGCGAACTGTATCAAAATCGGTTCAGACAATCATCATCGCGCACAAACATACATACAGATCAAATTGAGAACCTCCTTTTTTGAAGTCGGTTAAATAAAATGCAGATTTTTTATTTTCGGTATTATTTTTCCCGTCAGATTCAGTGACAGTTGGTCAGTGTGTGGCGTCGAAAATAGGCGAAACACCAAGACGAATCGACTTTATGGTCGATATTTGGAACAAACAAAGCCAGTATTATAATCACAGTATCCTCAACTACGAACCGTGAGTTTTATTATTTAATTACATACTTATATTACATAATGTTATTAATAGAGAGCTCTGTGATGAACCTAATCATTTAAACTGAGGTCTCCAACACTTTTGCGAAGATTATCTATGAAAAACCCTCTTTGTATAGCAGCATATAGCCAACCGGGCAATAGAATCTAATTACATATTATACGTACGGTACGGACAACAACACACGAAGCTGCTTTATCAAACTAAGTATTACTGAACCTAAAAATGTAACAACTCTTTCCTACTATCGCTTTTACTGCACGCACTATTTGTTGTGCCACAGGTCAAGACTCATCGCGATCACTCTGAATACAGTGATAGTACGAATAACACCGTCTGTACACCATACCAATGTACAGTAATGTCACATTTTTGTTTGTTTGTAGCCCAAGTAACGACAAATACTACTACGGTGATTTTGCACAGCTCTATTGGGCGAAGAGTTATATGGTGGGATGTGCTCGAAGTAGATTTCAAGTAAGTGAAATGTATTTTTATAATGAATACATAAACCACACCAGAATTTCCTCATATTTCTTTTACCACGACGGTGGCAAGAAAGGCAAGCAAGTGGCCACACGGCCCATATGATGGTAAGTGGTTACCATGACCTATGAACGCTTGCCACACGTTTTTTTTAAATGGGATAAATCATCTAATGATTTCTCCCGGCTTGGGAGAGCCGAGAGGGAGTGTCAGAATCTTACTGACTAAAAACCATCCCGTTCCTACTTATGTTCGAAAGCCGGAGCCCCAGCAAACCGTTAATGCCTCCGCGGCTCTGTATCGGGTTTAGCCCTACAGGGTCTGCGGTGGTCTGATGGGTCTTTGTGCACTAAGAGTATATCACCTGGTGGTAAGCAACCGGCACCGCTCGTGAACTACCGCACCTATAGAGGAGTTAGACGCGCATTGCCGGCAAATTATTGTAAATTAAACCGAATTTTGTCTAATTAAATTAAACGATTGGACTTTGAATGAGTAAATGATACTTTGTCATTCTAGAGAGTATTTGTATTCTTATCAGATTATTTGGAAAGGTGGTCTCAAGTTTGTGGAGAGACTAGTCTGCAATGTGGCCCCGGCTGGGCCAGAGCCGTACGACCGATTATGGCGACCTCATCCACCAACTGAACTCTGTCCATATCGTGCAACACTATCTTCATCTTGGCGTAACCTTTGCGATTACCGTTAGTATCATGTTTCAAATAACAGCCTATAGCCAATTCTCACACAGAGGTTAGAGCACTAATCACCACGCTTGCTCAATGCGGGTTGGCGATTACAGACTTATAATTAGAAATTATAAGCCCAGGTTTCCTTAAGATGTTTTCCTTCACCGTTTGTCAGTGGTGTCTAAATAATCTTAGAAAGTACATATAACTCGGAAAAAGTCACATTGGTACTTGCCGTTGCGTTGGTAGGTTTCGAACCCGCACCCTCATGCATGAGAAGCAGGCGTCTTAAACTTCCGGGCCACCACGCCTTGTTTAAGTCACCCTATTTACAATATATACATGCAAACGTTTGTATGTTTGTTACTTACCTTCACATCAAAACGATTGAAGGGATCGAGATGAAATTTAGAATAGGGGAAGGTTATTGCCTGGAACAACACAAAAGCTATTTATCCCACGGGAAAGCGGGCGAAGCAGGTTAACAAAGGCTAGTTACAAAATAAATTGAGTTGCTAAACAAGAACACTGTCGACGTTTGAGGGTATGGGCTACAGAAATGGCTGTACCTTCTTCGTATGTAGTCATGTTTGTTATTGTGCAAGAGTATTTGCAAGAATTAACGCAGAAATAAAATATAAATATAAAAAGTATTATTTAAAATTTAATTTTAAATACTAATTTTGCCATACTACCTGGCAATGCTGCCAGCCTTCTGGGGAATTTCCCAATTGACGTCGATCCGGACGAATTTTTTGATGATCTTTATATATACAGTACTAGCTGACCCGGCAAACTTCGTACCGCCTAAAAGTTTTTTCTCACCTTTTAAACCTTCGCTAGACTTCCATAAACCTATCAAGACCAAAATTAGCCAAATCAGTTCAGCCGTTCTCGAGTTTTAGTGAGACTAACGAAGAGAAATTAATTTTTATTTATATAGATTTATTTATATAGATTTATTATTTTCTATACAGTTCTATACAGTACTTATCACTATACAATATCTATACAGTAATTATTAGTTTTTTTCCATTCGTTTTAGTGTATCTTAAGTAATAGTTGGTATCTATTTTATTTAAGTTTATATAATTGTAAATAAAGATTCTACGAATATTATTATATTATAATTAATATTTATTGACAGGTGAAACGTCTCGTGAGCTGCAAGAAGAGTTAAAACGTGATGAACTTGATTTATCACGAAAAGGAAAGAAAAGGAAACATAGAAGGAAACAGAAACATAGAAAGGTATTAATTACTTCTTTTCTTTATATAGCGCTAAGCGACCAAACATCGACTCATCAAATAATAAAAAAGCGAGATAATTAATATTTATACGTTCTTTCGAAGAGGCCTTTGCATAGCAGTGGATAAGTAGGCTGCTGATGATGATGAATGTACAGGACAGCTCGCTTTTCGATGCAATTCCTGTAATCCAGGATCTATAGTAGAACTTTTTGTGTTATAGAAAATTGTGCTTTATTTCGTTCAGCATGGCTCTAGAGTAAAACAATTTTTGTGTGGCGGCGATGGTATCGGAAAATTGTCATCGAGATGTAAAATGAGACTTTTAGATATAAAACCAGTAATAGAGCTAAGAAAAACTCTTAATTTTACAACATTTCATTTTTTAATTTTCTGACACCAGATTCCACATCGTTTACGTGAATACCTATCAAGATCAAGAAGATCTAAAAGAGACAAACCAAATGATTATGACGATTATCCAATCGAGTCTAGCTCCAACAGACCAAGGGAATTTGACAGATCAATGGATCCTAATACAGATCCTAATATAGCTAGTCGTGTCGCCCCGAGTATTGTGATGGTTGTAGCTTTGAATTTATAGTTGTTTAGGAATAATGTACATTTTATTGATATTTTTTATTATTGTACAATGTTTTATTTACTTTTCTTTATTAAAAAGTTTGTTATATTGTTGTTTGTATCGTTTTACTTATCTGTTTGAAAGCGAGTGTTGGAATGGGCTATGGTCAGAGTCTCTCTGCTACTAAAATATCTACTACATATATATGTACTACAAAGTTGTGCGGTAATAATGTGGCTATGAGGAAGTGGGAGCGGAGCTGTAAAAATGTGTATTAATGTGTGGTGCGAGGTTAGTGTTGCGAAGTTGTAAAATGTATCGACGGTGTGTGCGTTGTAGTGGAAGTGGAGTAACGCGAACACCTGCCTGCCACACACGTCCCTCGCACACATCCTCCGCACACATCCCTCGCTTGTTTTGTATGCGCAGAAATCTAGCTTGCTGAACCGTTTCCACCAGTGCTGTCGCACGTGTCTGCTAGAAACGTAACCTAACGATTCGAATGATTTCAAAGATGGCTTCCCGCCTTGTTCCCACCGTAATATTTCTGCCCCCAAGCCGACCAGATCGCACCTTTCTACTTTTTTCTTTATTTCTATGAATGATCTACACGTATAAATAAGTTCAAGACGAGATCCTTTGTAAAATCGTATCAAATTAAGCAGGAACACTAAAAATGTGTAAGCAAAATCTATGCAGAAATGAAACCTTCTTTTATTGTCTTCTGCTTCTGTGTGTGACTTGTTAAAATTAGACAGTAGGACAGCTGACATTCTTGTGACATTCCTTCCCCCCTATACTTTATACTTTATTATACTGTTTACTCCAAAGTTGCTCCAAAGGTTTACAGTTTGGTATAAACACTAGACGGGGCCGACACAATAACAAAAAGTATTTTTAAGTAAAATGTGTAAAATTAATTGTTCATAGTAATAAAATGCGCGGCGTAGTGGTCGTATTGTCTTGTGTACTCGCACTCGCTGCCACCAGCTCCGTCAAGTACTGCGGGGCCAGCATGTGTGAAGGCAAAAATACACATACTTACTGCCAGTATCCAGTAAGTAATAGATAATATATGCCTCAACAACATCAACTACCCTGACAGCGCTCTGCTGGACTGGACTATACACCTCTACATGAGGGTTTTCCATAAATTCCACGCGTGGAAGCCGCGTTGGAGACTGTAGATTAAAATATTCGTATGTATAGACAGCCCTAATAGCTGATGACGTGTTCTCCATCTCATCATCTCCAGTCAGGTATATTGAGGATTTCAGACATTGTATAGCCAAGTTCTTTGTAAAATTCGTGTTGAGTAATTTCATGTATTATAACAGGAAGGCCCTAGTCCCAGCTGCAATGGGTATATAAAGGTCAAGCTTAGAAGCAGAGAGAAGGCGAGATTGCTGAAACGGTTTAACAGCGGCAGGAATAAAGCTGCAGCTGGCGGGCTAAAGGGGTTTCCCCCAGCTGCGAATATGTTAAAACTGGTACGGTCTATGTCATATCGTCAAATAGAATTTGTAGAAAAATAGACCTGAAGACCTCACAGTAAATAGAATTGCGAAAAAACACTTACTTCGGTTGATCGGCTTTGGTCGCGGATTCGAAATTTTTTGGTTTTTGACATTAATGCTAATTCGAATCTCTTGAGATGATTTATCTTGTATTGGGTATATTGAACACGCTTATGAATGTACTAGCTGTTGCCCGCGACTTCGTACGCGTACAATATGATTACTGTTTTAACCCATGGAAGCATTTAATCGGGATAAAGTATCCTATCACCTAAGTCAGTCCATACCCTGCCTGTATACCAAATTTTATCAAAATCACCGGTAACGGTAGTATGTGTGGAACTTTGTTAATTTTAAGATCTGTGTGCACCATGTACTGAGAAATAAATGACATTCATTCATTCATCAATTCAGTAGTTTCAACGTGATTGACGGACAAACATCCAAACCAAGTAACTTTCACATGTAAAATATATGTATGTATTGGAGTGATTCATGTAATTTTATTATATATGTATGTACATTTTATCCTTTTGAGACCAGTATTTAGCTAACATTTTTATTTTTTATTTTTAATGTAAATCGATTTTAGTAATGTATTATTAGTTTTTGTACTACTTGTGTTATTAGTTTAGTTTTCAAGTTTTAATTCACACACAATGTAAATTGTTTTTAAACAAAAATTATATAAAATGAAACCCGCTTCCCGTTGTCACGCCATAACTTGAGAACGGCTAGACCGATTTGGCTGATGTTTTTTTGATGTGTTTGTTATTGTCAGGAGAAGGTTCTTATGACAGAAAAATATCTTGAAAATCCTACGGAACCGTGAGAAAACAGGATTGCGCGTACGAAGTCGCGGGCAAAAAATTGACCACGTAAGTATTTGCACCAGTCACAAACACATCTCACTTTCTCTAATTATTTCGTGATTTTTTATATTGATTTTATTGGTCAACAGCATTGGGTTGAGGAGCTGGCTCGTGAAGCCCAGCGCTGGGCAGACCAGTGTCGGCGGCCGCGACGCCCCGAAGAACACGACACTTGTCGTGATTTATGTAAGTTTTAGAACATTATGCCAATATCTCCATAAGGTTATACCTTAACGTTAATTTTATTCTATTTACCTTAATTAACACCCATTTTTCGTAATCTATAGACAGTTTCGTGAAGAGTTCTTTGTAATAATAAGTTTATTGGCTTACAACGTGTACAATTTTAGTATATGTCAATTATAGAGATTTAAAAATAACCACTATAAATGGACTAGAAGAGCTGAAGATTGTCTTCAGTGACATTCTATTGCAATGGTCTATATACAGCGTCGAATGGAAAAATCCTCTTTGCTTCGAAAATTATTAAAATACGATTTTGAAAACGATGATGACGTGAGATACACACGCAACCAAATAAGCATGTTGGATAATATTATCCTTACTAATGTTATAAATCTGAAAGTGAGTTTGTTTGTTTGTTCCGCTTTCATGCCGTAACTACTAAACCGATTGCTTTTCATTTTTGCAGAAGTAAAGTTAGAAGTCGGGATTAAATAATAACCGTACCTTTTATCCCAGAAAAATTTGATGTTCCCGAGGAAAAACAAAAGTATTGGTATAGATGGCGCTGTATGTATTGGTGTATGTCAAATAGGCTACTTTTTATCCTTTTGTGACGCGAGCGTAGCCGCGGGTAAAAGCTAGTCAGTAAATAATTTTCTTCTTTATCATTTCGCTCTTGCCAGAGCAGCCGTGGCTACGTTTAAGCGCAGCTATCCTTACGACCTCTCGCCATTTCTCTGTTGGTGGACTGTCTGGCACAGTCTGACATAGAGTTCTTATTGCCGTTTCATTTGGTCAGTCCGACGCATAGGTGGTCTGCCTCGTGATCTGATTCCATTACATTTTCCCCTGCACGACCATAAACCAGGACGATAGTAAACTATACCTACATTATAAAAATCCAGATTTTTATATTTTCGATATTGCTTTTTCCCGTCAGATTCATTGACAGTTGGTCAGTGTGTGGCGTCCGCAATTGGCAAAACGCCACAACGAGTCGACTTTATGGTCGACATTTGGAATAGACAAAGCAAGTATTATAATCACAGTGTCACCAGATACGAGCCGTGAGTTTTATTATATACATATACATATAATATTACTTAATAGAGAGCGGGCGTGGTGGCCCTGAGGTTTAAGACGCCCGCTTCTCATGCATGAGGGTTCGAAACCTACCAACGGCAAGTACCATAGGACTTTTTCAGAGTTATAAGCAGCACTTTCTATGATTATCTAGACATCACTGACAAACAGTGAAGGAAAAAATCTTGAGGAAATCTGGACTTATAATATCTAATTATAAGTTTGTAATCGCCAATCCGCATTGAGCAAGCGTGGTGATTAATGCTCAAACCTTCTCCGTGTGAGAAGAGGCTTTGCTCAGCAGTGGACATTTATAGGCCATTTATATATATGTTGATGATGATGATGATGAGAGCGGGCGGCATCGCACATTGTTCAAGGTGACCCTTTAAATTGCGATTTCGTATCCGTTTATAAAGTTTGGAGATTATGGAGAACACTTCTTTAAATAGGAAGCTCATCGAGCATTGGATCACAAAACATTTTTATATAAAAGTCGCTTACGACCTTACGAACATTCGGCAAACAGAATCTAATTTTCATACCGATATACCACATCGCTTTTATACTGCACGCACTATTTGTTGGTTACTGCCACGACTCATCTATTACTTTTTCACTATTTGTCGTGAAAAGTAATGTCACATTTTCATTTGTTTGTAGCCCAAGCAACGGTACCAAATACTACTACGGTGATTTTGCGCAGCTCTATTGGGCGAAGAGCTATATGATAGGATGTGCTCGAAGTAGATTTCAAGTAAGTTCATTGTATTTCTTACTGTGTCTTGGATACTTTTATAAACATTTAAGTGTGGGAGAGCCATGCTTTGGCACGAATGGGCCGGCTTGACTGGAGTGATACCATGGAAGACCTCACAGAAGACCGACATGAAATAACGCTTGCGTTGTGTTTCGTCGTGCGAGTGAGGTTGCCGGAGGCCTTATTCCCCCCCCAATCCCTGAATTCTCAGCAATCGTCAAATTCCTAATACCAAAAGGCCGATAACGCACCTATAACACCTCTGGTGTTCCAGGTGTCCATGGGCGACGCCGATTGCTTACCATCAGGTGATCCGTCTGTTCGTTTACCAGCTTATCACATACAAAAATATACTGCTATATGCTTTTTTTATGAAATAGGGCGGCATATGAAGATATGTATCGGCTGATGGTAAATAACTACAACAGTAGAGGAGTTACGGGTTACCGGCCGGCAGTTTATTGTTAATGGAATGGAGCTTTATATAATAAAAATAAATGATTTCGACTTTGAATTAATATAATTATAATACTTTATCATTCTATATTTGTGTTTTATATCAGACGCAATGGAAAGGTAGTCTCCAGAATGTGGAGAGACTAGTCTGCAACGTGGCCCCGGCCGGGCCGAAGCGGCACCGCCGATTGTGGCGCCCTCAGGCACCAGCTGAACTCTGTCCATATCGCGCAAGAGTATCTAGTACATGGATTAACCTTTGCGATTACCGTTAGTATCATCCTTGTTAAGACATTATTCTCTAAACTAAGACAGTTGGCTCAGAATTTAAGATACAATAATACTGAAGCACTATTCAGGATAACGTGTGCAAAAATACCGACATAAAATATAGAATTCAATATAGTAACAAGAAAAATATAGCAACAAGAGTCAAGACACTAGCACAGGGTGTACTTTTTCCTAGATAACACATAAGTCATTGTAATTAAAAAAATATCTGACTTAGATTTTTTTAAATATTTTTCTGATAACTGTAGGAGCCTTGCCGATCACCTGGTGCTATTTTGTCGTCGACTTCAGGGACATCCTGTATATTCTACTATACAAACCTGAATAGTTGTATGAATGCGCTAATCTCAGGAAGTACTGTTCCGATTTGAAAAATTCTTCTTATGTTTGATAGTCCATTTATCGAGGAAGGCTATAGGCTATAAAACATCACGCTACGATCAGTAGAAAGCTAGTTAATTTCGACATTTGAGGGTATCTGCTACAGAAATGGCTGTACCTTCTTCGTATGCAGCCATATTTGTTATGGTGCAAGAGTATTTATTCAATAACTAGCTGGCCAGGCAAACTTCGTTTCCCCTAAAAATTATTTTCTCTCCTTTTAAACCTTCCCTGGACTTCCAAGGACATTTCAAGACCAAAATTTGCCAAATCGGTTCAGCTGTTCTCTAGTTTTAGCGAGACTAACGATCGGAAATTCATTTTTATTTATATAGATAATATTGTTCCAATTTTTTTTTGTTAACAGCTGAATCGGTTCGAGAGCTGCAAGAAGCGTTAAAGGTTAATGAACAAGAGTTATCACGATCGAAAGGCAAGAAAAAGAAACATAGAAAGGTATTACTTCTTGATATAGGGAATAAGCGAACAATCACCGACCGACTCATTAAATACCAAAAAAGCGTGATGATTAATGTTTATATCTTCTTCATACGAGAAGAGGCCTTTGCTTAGCAGTGGATACTTGTAGGTGATGTCTATGATGATGAAGATACGGAACAGCTTACTTTTTTATATTGTGTAGTAGAAAATTATGCTTTATTTCGGTCCGCTTGGCTCTTGAGTAAATCACATTATCGAGATGTCATCCCATTCGGAATGGAAAGTAAATACTTTTTGACTAAAAAATTCCCATATTTTACAACATTTAGTTTTTTTATTTTTCGACACTGCTGATAGAGTAGAAATAAAACCACTTGTTGACAAGACTAACTGATGCACCAGGTTCTACACCGTTTACCTGGAATGAAAGGATCAAGAAGATCGAAAAGAGAGAAACTAATAGACAATGATGAGGAATACTCAGGCGGCGAAACATCAGGGGAATATGAAAGATTTCTGAATTCCAATATAGCTAGTCATGTCGCCTCGTGTATTGTAATTGTTTTAGTTTTGAATTTGTAATTGTTTAGGAATAATTTACATTTTATAGATATTTGTTATAGGTTTACAATTTTATTGTTTAGTTTTTCTTCTGTATGAAGTGTTTTTTTATATGTCTAATAAAGTGTTTTACTTATCCACTTGAAATACGTACGTAGTTAAATTATTTGATTAACCTGTCAAAGTCAAAGTCAAAGTCAAAATCAAAGCATTGAAACGTCAACAAATACAAAATAAATACTAGTAGTCATATACTGTCAGTCAGTCCGTCAGTGAAGCTAGGTGCTTAATTCAAAATGTCGATTCGAATGGAGGAGAACGAGCAAGAAACTCCATTCGTTACTCTTTTTAAAAAAGTATGTTCTACAATGTCTCTCATACATATTCCAATACTGTACGCATATGTGAGAACAATACAAAGATACGTTTGACGCATTATACTAATTACAAAACTTACTAAAATAAAAATAAAAATAAAAACAAAACAAAAAACAACTGAAAATAGTGCTTCTATACAAAAAAAAGGAAACTCTTTGTTTCCATTGAACCTGAAACCTGAACTCATTAACCAAGGATCACCAGTTTGGAATTGCTAAATTAAAAATTGATGAGCATCAGAATAGTATTTATATGATTATGTGCATTGGAATGCAATCTGGTCAGTTGGTCAGATAGTCAATTTCCAGGGTTTTCCATAGACATTCAGGTGAATAGAAGGTATCTTATAAAATAGGGTAACATAGTTATCATGTTAAGTCGATTTTAACATAACACTCAACATGCGTTTTCCGTGTTACTACTGAGAATTTTAAAAAAACGTAGTAATGCTTTGCCTGACTCGGGAATCGAACCCGAGGCCTCTTGCATGGAGTCTGGAATTGTGCCCGATATATGGCAATAGACTCACCACCTACCACATGGGACTCATAAGATAAATAGTGAAAAGTGGGTGTTACATTGTACAGTGGCATTAAGTGCCGTAATGTGCACCTCTGCCTACTCCATCGGGGATAAAAGGCGCAATGTTATGTTATGTTAAGTATTCTATAACAGATTACAATATAAAAGAAGATTACCAGACTTTTCTTGTAATACTGTCGCCAAACGCTGTTAAGTTACCAATGTCTTTAAGAGTAAACGAGCAGACTAAGAACCTAAGAGAAGAGAGACTAAGAAATATGGAAATAGTGCTGTCCATTACCATCCACAACACCAATGCAAGGAGATGTTGTAGAATTTTCTTGGCGTTTTTGAGTGGAGATTGGTAAGCTGACATTGTTTTTATAATAACTATCGCGAGACATACTAAATTAACTAAAATCGCGAGTTACTCACATGAATATACTGAGAATAGCTCTACTACTCTACTGGAAACCATAGTTTTTTCTTCTTCTCCTCTTATAATATCTTCAGATTCACTTCGTAGCGGGAACCAAGACAGTTATTCATGTCCCTGGGACGCGCCGGACTTCAGTGTTCCGTTGTTTTCATGGTTGTATCTACTGTAGATCCTGGCTTACAGGAGTTGCAGCGGTTTTGGGACGTTGTGGCGGGCTTGTCCCATTAAAAAAAAGCTCTACTAGTTTCGAACCACAGAGGGGTTCTTCCTCATGAGCAGCGTGCGCGGTCACGGCGAAGTCGCACAGCTCACTCTAGAGATCTACTCTAGTAGAGCTTTTCTCAGTAATTCACGTGAGTAACCCGCGATTTTAGTTAAGATGACATTGTTCGTTTTATGTGATTGAATAAATAAATAATCTTTCTTGATAATAAAATTAGCAAAATACAAAATATTATCTTAATAAGCGATGTAGACCTTATACAGTTAGATGCCTGTGCTAGGAAAGATTAGGATGAGATACATGTATTGGATCTTCGTGGTGGCCCGGGGGTTTAAGATGCCCGCTTCCCATGCATGAGCGTGCGGGTTCGAAACCCACCAACGTCAAGTACCAATGTGACTTTTTCCGAGTTTAACTTGCCTGTTTTAGTACCAATATATTGCATGTGTCTATTTTCTGTGTGTGTATTTGATTTGTATTTGTTTTCTGCATTGTTTTGTCTGTTTAAACTGTCAAACACCAAGCGGTCACCGGTGACCGCAACCTATTGTTCTATAATTGTGTCTACAAAACCGGTACTCGACGAGTTAATGTGCTTACTAACATATTTGTAAAGATGTTTCGTAATTTTATTTTGTTACTAACACAGTGGACCTATGATGTCTTAAATGAATAAATGATTAGGATTATGAAATGTACTTTCTAAGTTAATTTAGACACAGTGGTGTCCATTCACAAATGGTGAAGGAAAACATTGTGACTTGGCTTACAGTTTGAAATTGCTAACCACATTGAGCAAGCGTGGTTATAATAATGCTTAACCCGTTGTGTGTGTAAACGTGGATCCACGTGAGCCACATTGTATTTTCTATTGTCTCATATCGGTGCATTCAAGCGGTTAAACCTTCTCCGTGTGAGAAGAGGCCTTAGGTCAGCAGTGGCCACTTGTGGGTTGTTGATGTGTGTACCATACCTTAGAGCTAGGACGTTGGAAAAAACGTAAATTTTTTAACGTCCTTGGTTTCGATATAGAGTCAGATAATTCGAGATATAGGTAGATAAGTCATATTGTCTAGTCTTTTGATATCACATACCTCAAAGCATAAAGACATAGGTCTTCGATTAGTGCATCCTACAATGGGGAGGGAGGCACACTAACTTTTTATCCCGATAGGTGGTGTATCGTCCCTGGTGCCGATTGGACTGTCAATTCTATACTGTTTTACCAAAACAAAAAAGATTATCGTAGTTTATTTAATCACCATGACTCTATGTTGTGCTTTTCATTGCGAAAATATAGGAGTACACCGTAATATAGCGCTATCTACAATTATCTTTGCCTATGTCTCCCCATTGATGACCGGCTATTCTACCCAACTACCATTGTCCGGTCACCCACTTTAAGGTCACACAACGAATGTTGGAAAGGACTGTACTAGGAGTCTATCTAAAGATAAATGAGTTTATCAGATTTAACCTAGGTCAAAACAAACAGGAGCATAAGAAAGGCAATAGTCCTAAGAACCCCTATACTTATTATACTCTTTGGTCCTAAGCATAATCTATGCAGAAATAAAGCCTCTTTTCATCATCTGTCGTCTCTGTGTGATTTGTCAAAATTGAACAGCTCACACCATAGATAAGTATAAGCATTGACCTAACGTAGCCAACACAATAACACAAAGTATTTTGAGTAAAATGTGTAAAATTAACTGTTTATCGTGATAAAATGTTCGGCGTAGTGGTCGTATTGTCCTGTGCATTCGCACTCGCTGCCACCAGCTCCGTCAACTACTGCGGCGCCAAGATGTGTGGAGGCAAAAATACACATACTTTCTGCCAGTATCCAGTAAGTTACAGGCATTTGTATCTAGATATTTTCTCTTGGAAACACATATATATATATATAGTAATCTTTCTGGCAACGGGACGTACATTTTCGAATTAACAATAAATGAATGACCCAACTGAGGGTCTTTTAACTGTTATCCTGTACATATACTTCTTTAGCTTCGACCATTTTCATGTATCTGATCATACAAGATGCTGGATATGGGTATTTTGCAAATCATTAAACGAAACGCAAACTAACAACAGGGTTTAGAACTCCGTCAATTCGGTAGATAGTGTTCCTACTGATTACCTTTTTGATTTTAAACTTGAAACTTGATGGAAGACTTTCATGCATACTCCTTTAATAATTAAGTTTATAGTGATTTTATCTTTAATA